AGAGGACTCCGCGCTCGCAGAGCCCCGCGTCGGCCCGCCACTCCCCGCGGCTTAATTACCTTCGCCTCCGGCCCCTTGGGGGGAGCCTCCTGCGCGTCGCCCCCTCGCGGAGCCCTCGCGGAGAGGGGGAATTCCTTCCCGTTGACGTCCTCTTCCGAAATGCAAAAGATCAGTGACTTTGACAGGTAGAGGAGGGGGAGGGAACGGGGTGGGCGGAGAGGAAGCGAGGACGAGAAAGGTGCCTCTCCCTCCAAAAATCGAGATATTAATAATGGAATCGCAGCCTTCGGGAGGTCTTGCCTGCCCAGTCCCGGCTCGCCGGCTCTCCTCTGCGCCTCCTCGCGCCGCTGCCTCTGCCACTTCTCGCCTTAAACTTTTAGGGAGGGTTTTTTTTTTTTTCCTTTTTCTATTTTCTCTCTCTCTCTCTCTTTTTTAATTTGTTAAGCTGCAGGACGATTTCCTGAATTCCCGGGGATCAGAACCAGCGACCTGGCGGTTCTACCCCGCTTGGCACAGCTTTCATTTTATTTCAGATGAAGACGTTGAGCTTAGTCAGAAGGGACATAAATCAGGACAATTAGCATTGGCGCCAAGAAGATCCTCTAGTACCAATTTCTCCGGGCTTCCTTCGCGCATTCCTCCACTCGAGTCAGAAATGTCACTGCACATAGCGTTGATGGCTGCGAGACGCGACGCACCCAAAGTCCATTTGATGAAATATACATGGCCCACGATGCTTCTGGATTGCGGTGCCCCGGCTCCCCCGCCCCCCGCCCGCGGCGCCCGGCCGGACCCTGCTCCGAGCGGGCAGCGAGCTCTGGGCAAACTTAGGGGCGCGTGCAAATGAAAGAGTGAGCGCGAGGGCCGGAGAAGCGAGAGAAAAAGCAGCCAGCCCCGGGAAGCCGCAGCCCTCGGAGGGGTAGCATGTACGTTTCACTTAAAAGCAGATCTTCTGCAACTGGCAGCGAGTGGAAGGATTGCAAACCTTATACTACCTCGAGACCTGAGCGCTCCGAGCGGTCCTAACTCCGTCCCGCTCGCTGCTGCTGCTGCTGCTGCTGCTGCTGCTGCTGCTGCTGCTGCTGCTGCTGCTGCTGCTGCTGCTGCTGCTGCTGCTGCTGCTCGAGCCACCGCCGCCGCCGCTCCACCGACCTCAGGGCGCTGAGGCTGTGAGACCACCCTTCACTTCCCCGGCCCTGCTCACCCACAGAAGCGCGGTTTCCAGTGACTCTTCGAGTACCTTCCACCTATGCCCCCCGCCGGCCCCATCCCTCCTCGACCTCCTCCCCCAAATCGTGCCGAAACACACCCCTCGCAGGGATGACAAACGTGTTTTTCAAACCAATTCCCTTGCCCAGCCAGCGGCCCCTACAGCGCAAGCCTAGAACCTCCTCGTTTAGAAATTCATTCTCCTCTGGAAAAGTTGAAGTTCGAGAGCTGTGCATTTCAGGCCCCTTTGCCTTTCCCAAGAGACAGACGAATGACCCCCAAGACTTCAGTCCCCACCGGTGGGGCTCAGACTTACCTGGGATCACTCTTAGCTACACACTAACTTCAAAAAAGAAAAAAAAAATCAAGACTTAGATAGGAAGAGATAGTAATTAGAAAGAAAGACAATTGCAATAGGGAGAACACTGATGTCAGACCTCTGTAAGCTTCTAAGAAGCAAGTAGAAATATGCTTTTATACGGTAAGGGGAGTGAGCAGTAAGGGAAAGTTGGGCAGATGAGGGAGAAAATCAAAGTATGATATGTGTGGTTTGACAAAACAATGTGTTCCTGTGGCCCATGGGTCTTGAGAATAAGCACGGTCTGCATCTTGGTACTTCCTTAGACATGAGGACAAGCTCTCAATTCAGGCCCAGTGGGGATGAGAGAAGCCTGACTCAGGCTTAGTCAAGGCAAAGCGCAGGGTAAGAAATGGGCAGCTGTGAACACCTGCTCGCTAACACATGCCCTGTAAGGAAGGCTCAGAGCTAAGAGCAGAGGGGGCATTTTTCTGTGACTTGGGGTCGGGGGGGTCAGGGGGTAACAACCACCTGGCTCTTCACCCACTCTCCACCCATGCTCTGCTAGGGTTAAAATATACTGATGATATGGAGATGCCACTCACCATCTAACCCTCCTTCGCAGCCCCCCAGGTGCCAGTCCCTTCTTGGGGAGCCAGGAAGACTTGGGAAACACCACAGTGTTTCTCACATCTCACTTTTCCTGGCCCCTGGCCTGAACACAAACACAGAAGGCTCTCAGCCCAACTTCTCCCTCCTGCCCTTTTCTCAAGCCAAGCAACCCCCTTCTAAGTTTTCATTCTCGTCTTTATCTGCTCTTTTTACATCCTTCTCCATTAAAAAGTAAAGAAGTCTATGCAAAGATTAGAAAGCTCCCTTCTGGGATATACCAAGATCTTTGTGATATTGGCACCTAACCTGGAGAAATGTTCCCTTTCACCTGCCAAAATCTTGGAACTACAGCCCTTCCCCCTCTTCCTACACTGTACCCTCCCTCATTCCATGATGATGAGGCAGACATCAGTCCCAAATGAGTCTGATATGTGAATGGGGACCATCTCCAGTTAAGTAGCTTCTCTCACTCCAGGAGTAAATTTTACTCTCAAACATCTGCTCTGATCTTTTCACAGACTCAGTAAATCACCAACTAAACATGTGGAGCTAAACTCGGGTAGGAAATCAGAATCCCCGGAAGAGCCTTTCCAACATTAAATCCTCCTCCCCTCCAGATCCTGACCCTCCCATGGGTGCGGATGAGTAGGAAGGAGTTTTCTCCCAAAAGAGCTGTGGGTGGATCTGATAGACGCCCTTCAACTGATAACCTGTGAACTAACATTTATATATTAAACCAGCTTTCCAGAATATACCTTTGCATTCTTGTTTATATAATACACACCAATCAGAAATTTAGATATTTTCTGAGCATCAGGGAAAATAATTTAGGGCATGCTTTTCCTATCATCCTTTGCTTTCTTCACCTGTATATATTTGACTTTCTTTGGAAAGAATGGCTTCTCGGTTTTTATTGAACGTTTCCACTCTTTTTCTCTCTCTCTCTCTTTTTAGAGAACTGTTTGATCTTTTAGGTCTCTGGCTTCAGATCTCTGGCTGGTTTCCATGCATTCCTCATTCTTCTTCAATTTATATTTTATATATTTGTGTGTTAGGTCTCTGTTGTTCACTTTTCTAGGTTATTAGCTGCTTAAAAACCTTCTTTTCAGAGATTTGAGTGCTTGTAACTGGTAGTGGTAGCATATTTGAATGTATCTGGTCCAAAAAGATATATCTTCTTATAAATACTGTAAGGTACTTAACATAAAGGAGATACGAGACAAATGATCATTGCAAGTGTAAATAATTTTTGTCCATACCCAGAATTCAGTTATAGCCTCCTTGGTAGCAAGAACTAATTCTCGCTGTGTTAAATTAAGACTCAGATGTCTGAAATAGCCAAATCAGAGACAAGTTCTATTTGGCCAATTGTATACTATGTCATAGATGTTCTTTATAACTGCTGTTTGTGTCCCAGTAGAAACATCCTTCCTACCAGCCGTAAAACCTTTAGCTCTTTCTTGCTTCCACTCTGTGTTGAGGGACATGTTTTATTACAGAGCCATTAGAGGTGTAGTTTTGACAGGTTTTGAAGACTTGCCTCACAGGATTTTTTTAATGCTTAAATACTTTGACATTTAAACCTCTGGTCTAGGCTCCATCACTAGCCTATATTGGCATTTTCCTACTGCTAATAAGTATACCAGGTACGCTTACCCTGAAACTTTAAATTTACAAACCCAAACTATCCAAGTACCACACATGCGTATATCAACAATCTAATTTAGTTCTTCTGAGAACCGATAGCAGACCAAAGGACGTATTTGTTTAGTATAAGAAAATGCCCATATTTACTGTGTTACTGATTCTAGAACATGAAGAGCAGATGGTATAAGCCATTGGTAGTTAATGACTAATGTAGGAACATGACCTTTACCACCCGTGTGCATTAATATGTGGCACTGTGTAAAATAGTTTGAAAATAATAAAATTAGCTGCTTGGTTAAAATATGAAAAAGTCACAAAATGTGGGTTTGGGGATATTTTAGGGGAAAGCATGCTATCCTAAAAGATAACCTTTTTAGTCAAATATTTCCTCTCTTTACTATTCCAGCTTTACAACCCTAAAAGTGTTTGAGAGAATAGTTTTCTTATTTTGTTTATCCTATTTCATCCATGAGAAATCACTTCTTAATTATTATGTTTTCAGAGCATGTGACATTACATATTTTTATCTAACCAGTGAAATCTGTAATAATTATGACCCCCTGATCTTTTTTTCTTTTACCTATTTTGGTTTTTTGAGACTCAGAACACATAGTCGATATTTGTTTAACAGTTAATCTTTTTTTCAAGGCTACATAGAGAGGCATCCCATCTGCATGTTTGGCTAATGCTATGGTCTGAACAAACTTGGTATGCTTCTTTGAACTTATATTTTGTTGTGTTATTTTGACTAAGATCATTAACTTATTTCTTGGAAAAAAATTTCACAATTAATCTAGTATATTGGCTGGAAAGGTTCAGTCTCAAAAATCAACAGCTGTGTAGATTTTCTGAAATGTAATTCTTCTCCAACAACAAAATCAGCAGCCTTTTCAAACTGAGAAGGAAAATATACGAAGGAAGATTAACACCCCTTGTCTAATTTAGAGATCTCTCCATCAATTCCATCCCAGTAGTTCTTCAAAAAATATTGATGGAACCAACACTACTTGCCAGGATTGTGCTAGATGCTAGAGGCAATACAAAGTTCTCAAGTCAGAGTGTACACATGTTGGGAAAAGAGTGTTGGACTAGCTATAACATGCATTTTTAAAGGTCAAGTCTGGAGATTCTTTTTGTACCCAAGATGAGGCACAAAACTCAGATGATGGTGCAGGGCTGCAGCGCCACTGGCCCAGACTATCACAGATTGCAGCATCTGTGGCTTAGCAGCTTGTGCAAGAGGTTCCTGTCCTGTCCTATAAATGTGAGGCAGAATGCAATAATAACTAGGCTAACCTTCAATGAACCACTGCAATGGTAATATCCATAATGAAAGATATTTCAAGAATGGAAAAATTGCAGACACAGAAGAGAAATTTAAGATCACATGGTGCCATTGGTGGGACTTATATTCCACCCAGATGTTTCTCCCTGCTTTTCTTGACTTCCTGCTTCTGAGTTTAGTCTGATGTTTACCGTTCTGGAATGATTACCTTGACAGCCGTTTTTATCAGCGCTACGGCTCCCAATCTCTAGCTTCATGTGGAATGGAAGCAGTGGATAGAAGCTGGTGTTGGCTTCTATTGAGTAAATGGATTTTTGCTAAGTGCCCTTTACTTCCCAGTGGGCTGCCACCTCCTTTAAGAAGAAGAATCCCTCTCCTAGAGAAAAGGACTAATTCTCTTAAATCCTTCCTCAATTTGTAATGGAGGAGAATGAAACCGGAGGCATGACGAATTCTCTTCCTGCTTCAGTAAGCCAGGAAGGAGCTTGATGGTCAGGTCTCCAAACTTTGACATTCCACAGAAAATAACGCAATTGTAAGATTTCTATGACATCATAAACATTATTTTTTTTGTTCTCTCTTCCTTCTTTTCCTCTTTATCAAATATGAATTGAACACCTCCTATGTGTGAGGGACTGCATTAGAAATGACAAGATGAATCAGGCTGTCCTTCCCATAGCTTACAATCCCTTAGAGAAGACAAACTTATAAACAGTGTGACACTGCTGTAGGAAATGAGATTGAAACTCACAGGGAGCCGATGAACCTCAAAGGAAACTGCATACAAATCTCCTTGGGGATGCTGGAAAAGGCTGGGTAGATGAAGTGATATGTGGCCAACACCCCCAAGATGAGTAAGTGTTCATCCAGCAGACAAAGAGACAGAAGGCCTTGCAGCCAGGAAGCAGGGGGAATGGAGTGAGGAAGCCTACACAATAGGCCGCATTTCGGCACTTCTGAGTTCTCTGATGTGACTGCCGCTCTCGGCCCCATGCAGATGGCCTTTGTGGTGAACACTTG